TCCGCTGTGCAGGGTTCGGAGTGACAGAGCCCAGCAACCCGACTCTGGTCGTCTAACCCAGCGGTCCCCAACCCCCGGGCCTCGGACCCGTGAGTCGTTTGGTACCGGGCCGCGAGAGTTGAGGCTCAGGTGTGAAATGTATAGTTTTCAGGGGTTTTATCGGTTTTCAGTGTTATTTTGTTATTGTTTTTATCGTTTACTCGGTTTTCCTGGGTCTTTTCACGTGTGTTATGAATAAATCTTCTTTTTTTTGGTACCAGTACTGGTTTTATTTTGTTGTATTTATTCGCGACACCTTAAAGGCCGGTCGGTGAAAATATTGTCGGGCATAAACCTGTCCGTGGCGCAAAAAAGGTTGGAGACCGCTGCTCTAAACACAGCTCGTGGTCATGGGACAGCAGAGGGCAGCAAAAAACCATCTAAAGCATGAAACTGCTAAAAAATAAAAACATATCCTGAAAGGAAAAACCTCCAAGAAACAAAAGAAGGAAGAATTTCTATATAAATGCATTTTAATTAATTCTCAATTTTCCTGTTCTGAAAAACCTGAAATTAGGCACGTTCACTTTCTCCTACATGCTTTTCTTTGTCAATCGTCGCCTTAAAAATCTGTGCGTAAGAAAAGAAGGAAGCAACGTGTTACAAAGAATCCAAGAAATGAAGCTAATCCAATAATCAACAAAAAAAAACCCCAAATATCCAAATAAGCCAAAAACAGAGCATCGAAAGAAATAAAGCATCAGTAAAGCAAAGGAAGGAACAACTACGTGTCACCTTGGCAGCCATGTTTTAACCATGTTTGGCGTAAAGAAGCCAGCGTGGATACTTTTCCTGATTTTTGTCACCAGTTGAAGGAATCTTCAAACCCAAATCGTGGAGCGAAGGTGCAAAACAAACGTTTTTGTTTGAAGTTTCCAACCTCGTGTTTCTGAGATTAAAAGAAAGATGAATCTGTGCTGACCTGGAGGTTCTCTGCCTCCACAGCTTTCAGGTGTGTAATTTAGTAATTCCTCACTGTCTCACCTTAGCAGATAACAGCTCAGTGTCATCTGCAGCCAGATGAATATTAATCAGCTGTTTCATTACCACATGTTATTAAACTGGAGCTTGACCCGCAGCTGTTGTGAGGTGGAGGTTTCTTTTCCTTCCTGTTACTCAGACTGTAGCGTTGAATTTGCTGCGTCAAATCAAACGTTGCTTTCTTTCTCTGAAACCAACTCCTCATAACACCTCCAGCCCGAGCACGAGCTCTCTAAAGGTTATTCTGGAGATGGAGATGAATGCCGCATATGTATATATGGTTTTAAATATAGAGGCTGGCTTTGAGAGATAACAGGAATCATTAAAAGCTTATGACATTTGCTGGTGTGTGTGCGTTCGCCCTTATGCAAAGCAGATCTAATTGATGCGGCGAGGACGATGCTGGACAGCAGTGAGTGGACGGATCTTCAGCTGTCAGCGCGCCGGTTTTCATTATCTCTGCCGTTGATGTCTGCAAGTCTCTGCACCTCAAGCTGAATGTCAACCTGTGAAAACCTAAATAAGAAGCACGTCACTTCAAAAATCAGAAAAAATCAGTTTTTGCTCATTTCAGACTGCCAAGGCAACCAGTGACTCAAAAAGAGGAAAACCAACCCACGGCGTCGTGTTAATTCAGGCTGCTTGGATACGTATCTTTAATATATTCAACAAAATCGAAGCAGAGGATTGGTTCCTTTCACAAACAGTCCCTGCAGGTTCTGGATGTCAGCATCTGATGTGTTCGATTCTAAGAAGGCTTCAGTTTTATTACATTCAGCATAACTGAGCTGTGGTTGTGACTAAGCCCAACCAAAGACTACATTTAAACAAGTTCAAACATCTTTTGCTGTTGGAGTTTGCAAGTACAATCAAAGCGGTCACCCAGAAACACCCTCAACCTCTGGGTGACCGAATTTAATGGCGAGGCGACGGCACTGGTGGAGGCGACCTTTCTCCAAACCACCGTGGTCGGTTGGAGCGCCGTCACTCTCAGGTTGGTGAAGGTTTGCAGATTTACCAACGTGTTGCAGTAAATCTGAGTCAGAGTGTCGACGTCATCTGTGACACGCTGACTCGGCTGGTTGTATTCTGGTTATATTCCTTAGAAAAGGAAGATTGCAGAGCAGCTTTACCATTTTGCACTTTCTCTGTATGTAGACGGCAACATATTTGCAGTTGTTGCCATTTTATCCCCGTCAGCACAATCGGATTCAATGAGATGATGATTGCATGCATTGGCAACATAAAGTAGACTGGCTCTGATGGGGCACTTTGAAAATGGCAACTTACTGTGGTTGCAGATCTGGTATCCATCTCTGAAGCAAGCATTGGCTGCTGAGGCCTCCAGCTCCGTGATGTGACTGGAGAGTAAACAATGAGAAAACTATTTTTGGATGACAGGTCTTGACACGTGTACTAGAGGAGGGTTTTTGAGCAAAGAAAGGCAGCTGGAGCCGTGTTTTACTTATTTCTGTTCACATTTCATTGCCCAATAATCTTTTCATTTTGAATTCTTCTGATTTTGTGGTTTTAAAAGACTCATGCTGTCACGAACTGCACTTTCCCCCCAACGTCAGTCAAAGACGGTGGAGCATTACAGAGAGAAAGCCATCGATTGTAGGACTGAAAAGCCTGAACTGTGCTCAGTTCACTTTGTTCCCTTTAATAACAGATGGTCTGCTGGACCTGCTAAAGCAGGTTATAAAGGGAGCCCTGAATCACCTGTTATGACAGCTTGACCTGCTCCATGGCTGCCACAAACATCCTCAGACACCCTGCTATGCAAAACTGACTACTCGACTGCTAACCCTGACCGCACGTGCTCCATCCAGGGCTCCACCCACGTCTGCAGGTCGCTGCCCTCTGTGCTGTCCTGCTGCTAGGACAAACAGGAAGGCAGCCACCTCCGTATATGAGGCTACTCACCCTCTAAACTGCAGTCTGCTCCGCCCACCTGTTCCTCTGTCACCCCCAAACCTCCTGCTCCACCACAGCTGCTTCAGTCAGCGATGCTCAAAGAGATTTCCATGACAGGCTCACTTTAGGACACCTGTGGTACCTGAGGACAGGATGGCTCTCGCTCTCTGAATCGGCTCTCAGTTGTCAATCAATCTTTATTTATGAAGCACTTTTCACACAGAAATGTAGCACAAAGTGCTTTACATGGTTAAAAGCAGTCCACCCCACTCCACCCTGAGCCTCAGGACCGACGATTAAAACTTCAGTTTTGTCCTGGTTAAGCTGTAAAAAGTTTTCTGCCATCCA